TACTATTTGGGATGTGTAAGACTGATGAACCCTTAACTATTCATTTGCTTGTTTTTAAGAGCCTGGGTTTTGTAAATGATGTGGAAGAGAAGAGGGCTGCTGTCACTTAGCAACCCTATCTGGTTCGGGAACAAAATGTTTTGCTGTTGGAATCTGTGCAGTGTGGCTACAAAGCATTCCTGACTGGGTAGGAGCAGGAGCAGCTCTGTTCTGGAGAGGTTTGGTGCAATCAAAGTTAAGTGTTCTTGATGCTGCATTTGTGAGATGTATTCATGCCGGTATTTATGACCATTAAGATTTTTGTTGTCTACCTCATTGTTTGTCTGTTGTGACTGTTAGCCAAGTAAACATTTCCAAATGGCTTCAATAAAGCAAAATTATGTTTTACATTAATGGTACAAAATAATTTCCGCCTTAAATGATTTGTGATGCTGCACTTTTCAATATTCTAGTATCAGTCATGTACAAACCTTTTGAGAGGTTACGTTAGCATCCCTAGAGGAAAAGAAGCCAAATGCTTCAATGTCTGAAGATTTCCTGACTTATTGCTTTTGAATGATGATGGCATTTGGTAATGTAGCTCTTAATTAATGATAGCATGATGAGTGTAATTAGAATACATCTTTCTTTTTTAAACACTCTGTTTTTGCTGAGATTAAAAATACCATCAAGCAATCATACTTCTTGAATGCAAAATGAAATTCACTCTGTTCCTCATCAACCTGCTAGTAAGTCAGGAGGTTTCCAGAAGGCAAGCTGGGTCCATGTTTCCAGCATGAAGTTGAGAATTACTTCAGTGGTTCTATGTGCCTTTGGTTGAATATGCCTTTCAATATACATATACGAGTCTTTTGTCAGTAAGTCTTTTTATTGCTAGTCCATGACAAGCAAAGAATTGTGCTCACAGTCATGAAGGAATGGTTTGAAGACTAGTTATTCTAACTACTGTACTTTCAACTGGGAAACTGCAAAGACATTATCTTCATTTAAAAGATGGAGCCAGCAATAGAAGAAAGAAGGTTACTTCCTATTTTCTTGCAACCATACAAAAGACAAAATTACAAACCTTACTATGAGTAGTTCTGACTATAGGAGGAATGAGGGTAATCCATCACACAGTTACCAGGAAAGTCCCCTGTCCTAGAAGTTGCTTACTTCTCCATGAAAATTACCTCGAGGTATAAGAATGTAATCACCTCATGCTTCTCCAGTCCTAGGTTTATTGCTGTCAGGATCAAGTTGTGCTGCTGTTTTTTGTGATGTGGACACAGGACTAGAGTAACACAGGAACACTTATTCTGTAGTTCATTATAGTATGCACGTTTAGTTACCCTATGCTACAACTGGCTGGGTGCTTCCAACATGAATTTTTGAAGTGCACCTTGTTCTCTGGAATCTCTCATGTCAACATGTTGATACTAATGTTTGATGCTCATGTTTGTTTAGTTGTGTTACAAAGTGGTGAGAGACCTCAGTCACTCAGGCCTGGATATAAAGTTTGTTCTCTGGATTTGAGATGCTCTGAGCTTTTACCAGAATCCCAAATGTAATGTACTTGTACGACTTCCTGTGAGCCAACACACTGGCTGAAAGCCGAACTCTGACTTCTCGGCTGCAAAGAGGAGCAGCAGAGTCCCACATCTGTCTTGGCTATCCAGCCAATGCATTCCATTTAGGAAACTCTTACTGGGAATATTCTGGTTATTTAAAAGATGACTAGTGAAAAGCTGAAAACTAAGATGTGAAATGTCACTGCTTTTTCTTAAGTATACAAGATCATTCTTGAAATGAGTCTGATAATTTCTGCAAGGACATGTAAGTCTGAACTGGCATACCTGCTTTGCTTTCAATACACCCATCCTGATTTATTCTTACTGAGAGAACACAGTTTGCGGTAACTTTGACGTATACATAATAGGCATTTTGTACAATTGTAGGTGGAGGGATGGCTGCAGTGTATCGAATTCAATGAAAAGTTTCCCATTGACTCCAGGGGACTTTGAATTATACCCTGATCCAGCAAGCACTTTAATGTAGGCTTCGCTCACTATTTCAGGTTCACTGAAATCACTGGAACTGTTCAAGAAGGTAAAGTTAAGCATGTACAGCGTTTACAGGCTTTGGACCATAAAAGACTGTTTTTCTCCCTTTTTCTGTTTTCCTCCCTGAATGTATATATGCACATAAACATTCTCTTTAAAAAAAAATAAGTATATCTCTTTCTCAGTGAAGAAGGTGTACTTAAAATAGAGAATGCTGATTTATGCATAGCTAGTAGATCTATAAGATCTCAGTAGAAAGTATCACACTTTTTATGTAAAGAGCAATGTATGATTTGGTGGGTGATTTTGGCCTTCAGTTCCCTCCCTACAGTCCTGTCTTAGGTCTGCTGTGTATTCTGAAATGCATCATCTGTGGTCATGTTCACATTTCAAAGCATACCTATGACTCTGCATGCAGTGGGAACCATACTGTATTTTCGATTACCTTGCAAAAGGTCTTTTCCTCTGGATCAATGCTGATTTTTAACTTGTTTGAAATGTCCTTCTAATGTAGTGCAGCTTGAAAGGAGATTAAATGAAGAACACATTTTACTTTCCAATTATTAGCTGTAAACATGACTTTTTATTTTTGTCTGTAGTAGTAATAACCATTGTAGTAATATGCTCAGCTATCTTGAAATGTTCAGTTACTATAAAAACATTATACTTGCACTAATGACTAATCTTGTTTTGTACTATTATTTTTCAGGCAATTTAGCTTGACTGGTCAAGTTAAATTAGTTGAAATTTGAATGTTATTTCATGCTAGTTACCTGTGAGCTTCCAGTGAGTTTCTGGGTACAGTTCAATAACACTGTGTTTATCTTCTATGTTACTCAGTTTTAACTCTTAAAAAATTTGCATCCTCACCTATTTTAGACAGATAAGGTCTAATGAGTCTAGCTTGCGTAGGACCTTAGGAGGTTACTGTCCCTCAAATGTCCATTGTGCTTCTATGCCAAAGACTGCTTCCACAGCAATGAAACCATTAAAAGCATATGCATTAGGCTACATATGTTTACACCATGGCATAAAGTCTACACACCTTCTTCTGCAGTCCAAAATGAAGCACCATACTAAAGCAATTCAGGCAAGGGCAGATATTCTCTTCTGATTGTACCCACTGTCAGGCAGTAACAAAAAGCTGGAAATACTAGTATCTTGGATGACTACAACAGTTAACTAAGAAAGCCTGGGTTTACTTATCTTCTTTTCTTACCCTCTCTTCATTTGGTGTTTGTAATGTCATAGTAAGCAGGTGTCATTAAGCAAAACCAAAACCGCTTACTTTTAGCTAGTGGTGTCTGGTGCATTTAATTTGTCCCACCCTCCCCTGTTTCTGATCAGAATCCAGAGCTGCTAATTTCCTTAGCAGACTGAAAACAAATTAGTAGGTCACATGTGTAAGACTAGCAGGTAACTTCTGAGAATTTATGGATCTGCAGATTCTTTGCTATCTTTATGTGGAGGTTACCAAAGTGGGCTCAAGTTTGCTTTGGATGGTGCCTTCTTTGAAGGTGTCTTGTTTAATTTTTATTTTAGTGGTAATAAGGCCAGTTTGATGTTACCAGATGAAAGTGAGTCAGGAAGGCTTGAAGAAAAAACACACAGAGACTACTGTACTTCAAAAATTACTTATGGAGCCATTATTTATCTGGTCAGGTAACCATGTAATATTTCTAGTAATTTGTCATTCTATGGATTATTACAACACAATAACTTGTCCTTTTTGAAGCTGTGTCAATGCGGTATTGTGCACTGGCATAGTAAAGTTGTCTTATGTTGCTACTTAGATATCAACGCAAAAGCAAGGTGTTTTATCAAGAAGCTTCAATCAATTGTTGGTATTGCTGATATGTTGAAGGTGGTGAGATAATTCTTTTGAAATGTTAGTGTTAGTGAGGGAAACTTATAGGTCTGTAGCAGACAGCTGCCTGCATAAAGTTGCTGCTAATGATAGTAAAATTCCAAACACTTTTGATTAAGAGACAACCTATTGCTCTCAGCTTGTTTGCTTTAGATTTAGAGTCTGATGAGGCTATGTGGGAGGCAGACACCCTGTCACTCCTGTGGGATTTTTTTTCTCTTTATTTTCATTCAAACCTTAGCACAAGTACATAAGTCATCTTGGCAGCGGGGGCATTGGTTCACTGAATAGTCAGGTGAATCTTCAAAGCTGGAACTGGAAGACAAATGACGAAAACTAGATAGTATGTGCATCAGTCTTCCAGATTGTCATGAAATGATGCTGCTAGCAGCTTATCTATAGTGAGTTTCTGCTTACTCTTCTTCAATATGGGACAAGATCCTGTTCCTCCTGGTTGCTGGTCTGACTCTGTGTAGGAAAAATTAATTGCTAAATGTCAAACAAATCCTAACCATGCCACCCTACATAGGGGTCTTTGGAAAGGGCAATGATGTTGTGGAAGTGACCAGTAGGTCTACCTCATCTCTCTTGCTACTTTTCTGTGGATGCAAAGAAGACAGGCTGCACAACAGGACCAGTTGGCATGGCATGGTCTGGTCCATAGGTAAAATGCTTCTTGGGAAACAGTTTGTGGGCTAGTGATGTATGACATTTTATTGTGACAGGATTTTATAAACAACTACATACTAAATGTTAGAATGTTGGAGAACCCAGAATAGCTGAAACAAAATAGCTGTTGCTGTATTAATTAAATCTAGCTCATTCCAGTTGTTTTTAGTATGGTCAAATGGATTAACCCAGTGTAATACATTTAAATCTCACTAACACAGTTTTTTAATGTAGAATAAGTGTGCATTATGGGGTGTTAGTACAGGAGCATCATTTTCTGTCCATGTAGACAAACCTCAAATTAGCATACTTACTCCGCAGTAATGACGTAATTGTGATTTTGATGTCTGTCACGTTTCAGAATTGCATGGAGCATTCTGATTAAAAATGCCTCATAATGCTGCTGCTTTTCCTTTCACCAGAGGCCAGCAGAAACTGTAGATGAAGAAGAAAATGCAGAAGAGGAAAATGACAGGGGAGAGGAGGCATATAAAGGACAGGAAGAATATCCAGAAGTGAATGGAGAGGAAAGTGGGGAAACTGTTAAAGAAAGAAGTGAAATGGAAGAAAAGAAGAAGAAATTAAATGATAATTATGAAGGTGAAGAGAATGGTGACCAAGCAGAGGAACTTACTCATTTAAATGGCAAGAAAAATAAAGAAAATGGTGAGGGAATGGAGCACTTGAACTACCAAGGTGGTCTTCAGCCTGAAGAAGAAATAAAAGAAGAGGATTCTGACAGTCAGAATCAGGTGAGTGTTTATTCTTTCAGTGTGTTGTTCTTAAGTTATTGTTCCTCATTCATCTCAGCCTTAGGCTTCTCAGCAAGTCTCTAAGTAGCTCACACCTGATAAGGTCCTGAGAGCATTTACAAGAACTTCAGTTTGTGGGAAAAGCTGTTTTCTGTCTGTATAGATCAGTTACATCAGTAATTACATTATATGCCCTCCAACTGAGAAAGCAGATGTTTCTCGCTATTTGATGAATCTGCATCTCCTGCTTTCCTGACTATGCTGAATTTTGGAAAAAAATAATAAAAAAAATTCTTGCAATTTCCAGAAAAGCATAATCATTATATATTTCCACACTACATTGTCCTTTAGGACAGAGCAGAAGGGTGTGTTCATGAAACCAGTGCCTCATTATTTTGGTGAATTGACTTTCATAGAAGTTGCATTTCATACAGGGCTCTTGCCATTGCTTTGTGGAAGTTTCATCTCCTTTTCTTAGAAATTGGAAGAGATTGTGGAGATGAACAAGATCCTCAAAGCAAGGGGCTTTAGTCAGTTTAAAAGCAAATATCCCATTAATTTAGGAGACACGGTAATACGCTGTTGGCTTAGATGGAGGCATGCAACGCAGAAAAATAAAGTGGGCTACCCTAACTGTCAGATGAACTGACCAACGAACAGAATGTCGGAAGCAAAGTGGTTTGTTTGATGGGGAGAATCCAGATCTGGGAAGAGTGGGATTCTTGAGCATCAGAAGCAGAACAATTTGCTGCATATTCCCTGCCTATAGGCTGCTGAAAAACAGACTCTTCCTCTGCTTCTTGTGACACTGGGAATGGTTTCTTGCACCTTGCAACTGGGCTTTCTTCTGTTTCTATATGACACACAAGAACATTTTTCAATTAAGAAAGCTGAGTAATGTGACGTTTTCTTGGGCCCTGAATTTATTCTATGCTTGATATATTGATTTTTTTTGTTTGTTTTTAGAAAAGCTGAAGTTATTTATGAAAGTGGAGAAAGTGAGTGAGCATTCACTTTAGATGGATATGTGGGTAACTGGATGTTTGATGAAAGAACTGGGGGGTAACCTCTAATTTCAGTACTTTCTCCTTTGGAAGGCATATAAGTATAAGGTAAATAAAAATGTTAATGTGATCACTCTCGGAAAACATTTTTTCACTTTAAGTATACCTTGTGGAAATTCTAGTATGAAGTGCTAACACTGTATTGAAATGAAGTGAAATGTTTGTTAACCGATGAAGTTAACAGTACCTGTTCTTTTTCTCTAGGTTGATTCCCATCTTGAAAAAACATCCACAAATCCAAGGGTGACAATCACCAGCCCACAGGAAAGTGAAAAAAATGACCAGAGCAATGACTATGCTGCAGTTGCATAGATAGAAAAAATGTAATGAGCAGAAAATGAAAGATTATAATACTTTAAATATAAAGCATGTTATTTTTTGTGATTGATAACTTATAATGGGAAGATAGGTTGAGTACCCACATTCTGAGTCTTGAGATGATAATGCCACACGGACTGATATAGAAAACAAACATTAATAGCTATTAGAAGAACATCGAATTATTTTTACAAGGTGAGATTTTCTGATAGAATATGAGGAGGGGAAATACAAGAGTACTGTATAGTAGTATTAGAAATAAATGAGCTATTCTGTGGTATAAGATGGTTAGCAGTAATAGAATAACCATAAAAATGACACTGTTCCAGAAAAAGGAAAAAAAAACCCACCCAAATTAAATGTCAAAACTTCTTTGCAGGTTTGTTCAGAAAAGAGAAACATTTTTTTACTTTTAATGAGGACATATGTAGTTTTTCCTTTAAAATTCCACATGATATATATGATTTCCAGGCATAATATTAAGATATAATTAGAATATGTTCCTCACTTAATGGACTTATGCCCACAAAAAATGGTGTACTGTAATGAGGTGTCAGTCCTAATGTTACTAAATAGTGGATTTTCAATATATTAGAATCGTTCGTTTTTGCATTCATAAATAGCACTTATTTAGCACTATGAGTGCATGTAGACAGCCTACAATACTGCAGCTTGTTCCCATTTACAGCAAGAAGTTTTGTTGATTGTCCTGCACTGATTCACTAAATAGTGAATTGTTATCACAGTGAAAAAAAAAGTAAAAGAAGAGTATGTAGCAGGTTAGTTTCAAAAGTTGAGTTTGGATGGATTTGTAATTCAGTCTATGTGAAATTTAATTTATTAGTGAAAAAAATGAATAAGCCTGGATTTAGATTGAAATTGCCATGAAACTATTCCTGTCAATAGAGCCATTTTAATATGAAACACTTTAGGATGAGCCTGCCAGTTTTCTGTAAAAGTCGGCAACAATTGCTACATTTATGAATCCTTTACATAGAGCCTTAATGGTTGGAAGTATATCATCATCTTTTTGAGCAAGCTGACTCCTGATAGGCTGTGGCTTAATTTGCATTAGTAAATAAGGCATTGATTCACAGTATTAGTTCTCTTAATGACACCAATTCCATTGCTCTTATCGTTTCTCTGTTAGTAATGGGAATAATTTGTAGTTCATAGAAATACTGCCCTGAGCATAATTTCATTAATTATACAGAAGAAATAGTGGATTTCCTTATCGTTAATGCTGGTAAATTATTACTGTGAGAAACTAAATGTCATTTTTGTTGATTTCATGCCATTAAGACAAAAATTACATTTACGAACAAATTGAACTTGAAGCACTGTTTGAGGAATTTAAAGAACCACTTGTCATGACTGAAACTCATACAAACATCTTCACCTTTTCTACTAACTATTAAATATATTTTTCCAATGGAGTAGAAATACGTAGAGATCCTTCCGCATGTTTCTGAGTATTGGCAATGTAAGTATAAAAACCATAATGTTAAAACCAATAGGAACAGGGTTAGAACAGTTTGCCGTGTGGCATCTCTGAATTGTCTATGATTTGTGTGTCCTTTGTTGAACTATCTGACAAAGATCTGAGGGAATATTACATTTGTGATCAGTTCAAAATAAGCTGCTAATTTAGCCAAGTATGTATGCTTCTTTTATTTGATACAGCAGTTAAACCTATGCTCAAATATCTTTGATTTCACTGGGATTTAAGAAGATGCTTAAAGTTAAGCAGAAGTAAAAAACAACCAGCCCTTCCTCCCCCCCCCTCCCCGCCCCCAACAGAATAAATAAAATAGCTGTATGTACTAGTGAGGAAAAATGACACACAGAAGTCCTCTAGGTACCTTTATAGTTAATCCTGCACTGCAGTAATATATGCAGTAGCATTAAAAGCCCTCAAACAATACATAACCAGCCAGAGAAGGCAGCTCTGTCTCCTCGGGGATCTTAGGGGAATTTACCCGTTGAACCTTCTGTGCAAAGCTGACCAAGGAAAATGGCTAATGCTGCATCTTTGCTTACTTAGAGCTGAATAGTTCATATGCTTAATAGTAAGCATGGGCTTAAGTGTGTTGCTGAATCAAGACAAATGACAGTAATCTGCTATTGACATTACTAGGAATGGGCTCTTTGCTAGAAGTTAACAGTCTACCGAATACAGGACTCTACTTGCTGTCATCTTATTGCAGATTAAGACTTGAACAACCTCTGAGATGTTCTTCATCCTCAAAAGTTTGAAGTTAAATTGACACCCAAAAATATCTGATGAAGATACTTAATTTGGAGAACGTTTTACTCCAAATGTTGTACCTAGAAACAATATTTAGAAGAAACTGAGGGATTTGTATAGTGATACTTTTTTCCCTTTGGTTTCTATTTATAGCTTCTGTCCGCCAACAGCTTCTGTCATTTATTCCCTTTTCCCTAAACTTTCGGTGTCTTCCATGCTTAAAAGACTTACAGATATCAGTAAGAGTAATTTAAAAGCTTAAACTAAATTCTAGGGAAGTGTAATATGACCATTTTCTTTCATGGGAACATGAAATCCCTATAAGTGTTATTCAGCTTTTAAAATGTTTTCCCCTGTTTTCTTGTGAGAAAGACAGGATATATTTCTTCAGAATAGCAAATCAGACTTTTTGGAAATAGAGCTATAACCGTTTTGTCATTCACCTTATAACACTGACAACATGAATTTTGTATCAGGTTCTTTTATATAGAGAAATTAGTTTATGCATAACAAATAATTCTGATGTTAAAGTAGAAATTAAACAAGAAGCATACAGGTGGTCTTGCTCATAGTTTTTCTGTCTGGATTTGCTGTTTGTGATGTCTTAACTGAGTTTTACATGAGAAATACATTACTTTGTTAAGCTTATATAATGTTATTTTATTAAGCTTATATGCAACAGTTCTGAGGGTTTTTTAAGACTTGTTTTCTTGTTTTGGTTTTATTTTTAAAAATAATTTGCTATTAAAGAGAACTAGCTTACAGATATTTCTGTGTTTTGTCTCATATCAAGGCCTGTTTGATGTTAAGTCTATCTTTGGGTGACTGACTTTATAAACCTGGTGATTTTGCAGCTGATAGGATTCTCCCATAACTAGAACTTTAAAAAAAAAATCAGATTTGGTAGTTTTTGTATTGCAACTGTGAAAGAAAATATGCTGACAATTTAGCTGTTACATAGTTATAAATCTAAGTTATAAATCTAAGAATAACAGCACAGTTAAACTGGCCGCTGGTTTTTAATGTCATCATTCAGGTTAGGACTGGATTATCGGTATGTATATACTGTTCAGCTGATACTCAGCAAATAACATGAGTTTTATCTGTTCACTGGCAATGCTTGAGAAAACTACTGAAGTTTCTAGTTGTCTCCCTGCTGAAATTCTTAATTTCAGCAAAGCATTAAAGCATATGCTTAAATCCCATAGGACTGCAGTTTTCATTATATTTTATCTAATGCTTCAGTGCTTTGACATATCGGAGACAAAATAAAGTTAGTTTCCAGAAAGAAACGGGTGAAAATAAGGAAAATATAATCCTCGCTCAGTCTCATCTAAAGTAAAGTGAAATAAACCTGCGTGCAGAAGAAAAAAAGAATAAGTGTAAGTATTCTGCTTACTTGAAAATATGAGGAAAGGATTGTTGTTTGGGTATTTTGATTGATTATCCCAAAGGTATATTAAAATAACCGTTAGATAATAAATGTAAGTACAAAATGAAGTATCTTGAGGAAGGGTGTATTTATTAAGTAGTAGCAATCAAAATGACTTAATGGGATGCAGCTCAAGGATGTATTGTTTTGCATGGCTTCCCGGGTGAACCTTGTGACATGGCGACTCTGGCTCCCAGGGGTGCGGGGTCAGAAGTGGCCCTGGCAGCGTGGCCGGTACCGCTGGCTGCAGTCTGCCCTGCTTCTCTCCCTTCCCTTCCGAGGGAGAAGGAGCCTCCTTCGCCCTGCAGACTTCAACCCTGCCGCAGCCGTAGCTGTGGCCATACCTCTCGTGGAGCTGTGCTGGCTGGCTGTGCCCGTTACTTGGGGCCTCGGCTCACTTTCCCAGCACAGGTGGATTGTGTGGGCGAGGCTCAGCCCCCCTCTTTCTCACAGCCTGGGAACTGCGGCGGCTTGGGAGGAGATAAGCTGGAGGGAGTCTGGGACTCCTGCTTGAGAGGCTGGGAACAGCCAGCCCTGGGGCAGCGGGCCATAAGTACCCCAGCCTTAAGCTGAAGCAGTTTCATGGAAGAACCAGTTGAATGTCACAGAAGCAAGGATCTGGGAATTACGAGACCACAAAGTCAATGCTTGAGGTAGGAGGGAATGGCTATGTTATTTGTGAGTACTTAAGGGATGGATATCATCCCTTTGTCTTTGCGCTCATGTGGGTGAGTGGATTCTCCCGCTCTTGAGGGAAGAAAATATCTTCAGACCTCAGTGATATGTAAATTTTTCTGCTTGTTTTAGTTGGGAAGGACTTCAGATTTGACTAGAGATTTGACTGATTTAAACTCCTCTGCCTCAGTGATGAAGTGGTGGTGTCAGAGACGAGCAGTCATGCTCCTGCTGTGCTTTGGATACACAGCTCGGTATCCTCATGCAGAAGTTGCCCTTGTTTCCTCTGCTGCCACAGGTCATGGTTTCATTACTGCATACTATCTCTGCATCTGCATTTGCTTCTTCCAGCTTGGTTGTGAGAAATGGTATTTCTAAAAAGAATGCCTATGCTCTACGTTATTTCTCAGTTAGAGATTGTTGGTGCAAAGCTGGCATCCTCAGAGAAGCCTGAGCTTTATACTTTCCCCTGCCATTCTCTTATTGCTCCCACTGCCCCAGAGTTAGCACCAAACAGGAATTAACTCGATAAGTCAAGAGCTAGGATTTGCATCCATTGTTTAAAAGTAGTCTCTCTGCAGAGAAAGAGAAGTGGATGAAGGCTATTTCTCCTTTTCATGCAACGCAAGGCGTAGTTCG